GGACTACCAGATGAAATTGCAGAGGGGACTGAATAGACCAATCGCTGCCGCTAGCGTAGTATTCAGCATATCAGTAGTCCGAGTACTCTACTGACCGTCAGTTTTATTTTTGGTAAATGACACTAACGACACACTTTGCTGTGAGAGGACGCCATGTTTGTTGATGTCTGATACCCACTGTAGGTCACATGACTTAGAGGGCAATCACATGACATCAAGGAACATGTCTTGCCCTAATTTTCCCCAACTTAATTTTTGCAACAAAGGATTTGCTGTTATGTAGATTGACGTTAAAAAAATAGGAGGCATAACCTAGACGCTACATGTATGGAATTATTTGATGATGATTTCCTCCGTCTCAGGCTCTTTCCTTGTTCTGGCTGTCATCAAGTCTAGCTGGCCTGGGACAGTACGCCCTCCTGCGATGGCCCGCCTTCCGTCGACTAGTCAACATCCCCCAATCGCCCTCCGAGATGAAACACCCCTGGCAGGAAATGAGGCAAGCGTTTCGAGTCAGATATTTCTCGAAGAAGATGTTTTGAACTGGGAGAAGAATCTGTGTTTGGGAGTAAAATGAGCCAACAAATCTTCAACATCAGGAGGGAATAATGCCACAGAGGAAGAAATCTGACTTGAAGATTTTAAGCGAGCAGCGGTGTTATGTGCGCCTTGATTAAAGGCTACCGTGATTCAGCCCGAGGTGCTGTGTCTATTCTGTATGTACATACCGGTAAGCACTGGATGCATTTCAGTGATCGGTTACATTGGTATCGTGCGAGCGCGATCGGTGTACATAATTTACATGATTTATTCTCTCAAAGTGACTGTGAAGGCAAAAACTAATCCTATTACCATTAATGTGTAAACTGACATTTTAAGGGAGTACACTGGTTTTGTGTTGTTAGTAGGCATACATCCTGTTAAGGTTACGTTTCAGCTTTTGTCGGTGAAAATATTGGATCGAACATCGGCCGATGTTCTGATTAAAACATCGGACATTGGATCAGCGGTTAAAACCTACAGCAGTTGATCCCTAATCTAAATGCATCGCTGACACAGCAGACTTCCCTGTCAGAATCTAGTCTCCTGTTCAAAGACAGTGGATGGTGACTGAAATCATATTCAGTGAATATGATTTCAGTCACCATCCACTGATCACTGATGCAATTGTTGGCACAATTACCATACCCTACAATGAATACGTGTACTTTTTCCCTCAGGTCAGCTTGCAGCCGACTGAAAAAGACTCTTCAAAGTCATGTGTTCCTCTTTTTATTCCCAATTTTTTGTCTTCGCCGCAGCTTACCAGAATGCAAATGGACGTTGTTCTTTAGAGCTTTTAACAGGAATTTGTTTTAAATGAAATTTTTTTTTCAATTCTAATAAAGTAACAATTGATATTTTGACACCAATGTTTGCTTTATTTGTGTCTGCATCCTTTACGAGCATTGAAAAAATTAATTAAACTGTTACAAAGACATTTCACTTTCATATCCGCGCATTTAACGGTCTGCAATAAAAATAATTCCTCTTTACAAATTGTAACACAAATTTTTTTCATCCTGATCCATCAACTTGAATGGCCTTTGATACTAACAATGAAGAGTTGTTAAGAGTTTCCAACATCTAAAATCAACCTTTAAAACTTAAAAAAAAAACCACAACTGCAGTGATAACAGAAATGGTTTATATAAACTTTACTTGCTATAGACAAAAATTATAAACAAGTTTTCTCTTTATAACCAGATAACAAAAGGATGCATAGGATACTCCTCATGGGGATTAAAATGAATAAAATTAAAATATATGAATATTTTAGTTTGATATATGACGCATATGTACATCTTTAAATTTCAATACATATTTCTGACATGGAGAATAATTAAAAACAAAATGATTCTGTATTTTACAACATTCTCAATGATGACCTGGGCTTATCAACGCATTAGGCATTAAAAGTGTAAGTAAAATATGCTACTTCGTCACAATGAAAGTGGCAGCCTCCACGTCTTGTTCTGGTCAGTTTGGAAAACACCACTATGTATTTGCCCACATGGTGTTCTTTCAAGTTCAGAGCCAACCTCGTCCAAGCTTTTATGTGAGTGACTGCTGGTTGAAGACTAACTTCTCTCAACCACCAGCACAGTTTTCCATATTAGGTATAGAGTTTAAATACCATCTCTTTCAGTTGAAATAAGGATTTGCAAAGAGAGACTTTCATTTTTAGCTGATGTCTGTTGACTTGCCATTCTCACATGCCAGACAGCGTAAAATACCATGCTTTTCTTACACATCGCATGGGGGAGAAAGTTTATTCCTGGACTACAAACCAATTTCTGAGAAGTGAAATTTCACCCTATAATCCTCTAAAACACTGTACGGCAGCTGCACAGGTTCTTCATTCCTGTATCAAGTTGAACACTCCCTGCTTTTAATGGCTTTGTTCCAGGCAAGGGCAAATCCGAGGGGATGGAGGGAGCCATGGGGGCCATGTCCCCCCCCCATTATTTCTTTGGACAAAAATAAGACAAAGGCAAATGTTTTGGCCTCGTTCGTTTCCCTTCCTTTCAAAATTGTGTAAAAAGTCCCAAAATGCAGCCCCAACCCTCAGGAAGTCCATAAAAGGTTACATGAAAAACTTACCAAGTTTTGTGGCCCCTCCCCCCCAAAAAAAGTTTGGCCCGGGCAGACCCTAATGCTGGATTTGTCCCTTGGTTCCAGGTGCTTTCAACTGCCAAACAAGTAGGGAGAGCAAACTAGTCAGGACTTCAAACCCCAGATACATACGTCACTGAGTACCTGGATCGTGAATTCAAGGAGTGCCCAGAAATTTAAACCACTGCTTAAAGACACATCAACTTTCATTCCTAAATGATACCAAATTCTCCACAAAAGTCAAGATATGGGCATGGCGAAAGGTAGGCCTCGGGTACATGAAGAATGGACTTGGCCAACCTCGCTTATCGAGTGTGGACCCATGAACAAAACGTCCACATAATCCAGGCTGTGCCAACTCAGTTCCTGGAAAACAGTTTCAGCGCCATTTTTGAGTTGGGCTTATTTGAACCACAACAAAGGGGATAATCAAAGAAACCATCATCTACAATCCAGTTTAAAAGGATGCACACAGTACAAGATAATGAGCATCTTCACTAAGTTTTTCATCCCACAAAAAAGGAATTTCCACACTAGGCAGGAAACGTTAACATGTATACGCATTCATGTGTGTTACTTCAGTACTCAAGGGGGATGTAGGCAAATGCACTCGGATCACATCAGCTGCACAAAAGGGTCATCTTGAAATAGCACGATGCAAATACCCAGCCCTAGAGAACAGTACTCTATGGCTTAATACCCATGGGTTCGTACTAACTCCTACAGTTTATGCACAAGGAGTACACTTGATTTCTCCTCACTGTCCTACTCAATACGCGGTTTCTACAATTTTGTCATTTCGTCAAATTGATTTAAGGGCAGGGGTGATGGTACCATGACAAAATCATCTTCTGCTTGGCAGCCCGTTTCCTCATCAATGTCGTCTTCCTCTTCATCTTCCTCATCAGTGTCATCTGTGCTGTCATGGCAACTGTTGGCATCATCACTGTCATAGTACATCTGAAGCGTTAACATGCAAAAAGAAAAGACGTGCAAGCAACATCATGCTTTAGTTGCGTTCCATGAGGGTGAGATGTTATAGCTTGACAAATCCCCCCCTTCCTTTTTTGCAATGAAGCACTTGTTTAGCTGAAGAAAAGAAACCATACCATGCAGGACACCTGCAACGATATTTTGTATGGGAGTTACTGCTTGCTAGAGAAGAATTGAAATACACAGCATCGTACAGTACAACATCCAGTTTTCAATTCTTGCTCCAGACTTTTTAAGTTAGAGAAATATTTTACACCTTTGTAGAGCCTTAAATCTCCATTTACAGTAGAAGACTTTTTTGCCTGTGCTTTGGGGTCTTTTTCTTAAATTCTGCAATACATGAAGAGAAAGCAACCGTGCAGACATTGTGGAGGCAAAATGAGACGAAACACTCTTCACAGACAATATACATGTACAGAGAAGGCAATCTACTATGCTGTCATCGGTTTATACATGTAGACGCTGTGAATTCCAATTCAGTGCCAAGCACTACATAGCATGATTAGGGCCCTGTCACATGCAAAATTGTCTCATGATTCCCAGCAGTGTCAGGATGCAAAATGGACTACTGCAAATTGTGACTCCGCGAGATGAACTTTCAAATCCCAGAAAACGTACATGGAAAAAGTGAGGCTGCTTAATATACTGAATGCAACCTGTCAAGTTTGTTTACATACGGACTCGGCGCTTTTGGTCATGTTTGGGAAAGGGGAAAATAGCTAGCAAAGCGAAAACTGCCAAAATAAAGGGAAAGCTTACAATCTACATGTATGTGTGCTACCAATAAATAGACTGGTAGGTGGTCCAAACTGACTACCTTGTGATGGAAGGCACAAAGTTTTCCTCTGGGAATTTTCAAGGGTAATTGACAGCAAGAAAAGCACTCTTACGGAGATCATGTCAACTAAAGCCAGTAAATGACTGAATTTGCCACATTCCAAGTTCAGGTAGTTCAGTTTGAAAAGATCACAAATTTAAATGAAAACAAAAAGGCAAGACTACATGTACAGATGCAATCAGTGCGCGTTTCATATTTTAAAATTTGACAGTCCACCTGGCGTCAACATAAAAACCTGTTTGGCTATGCTGAAAGAATCTCACCTTCTGCCAGGGTCCAATCCCACAGCAATGGCTAAATACAGCACAAAAAAATTACTTAACAGTAAGCGTATTGCACAGTAAACATTTCACAGTTGCTGTGCTTACCACAAACACCGCACAGGCAAGCACACAGATTTCCACTGTTACGTCCCAGAAACAAGCACATTTTTCTTCCAAAGTTAGTACACCTTTTGCTGTGCCTTTTGCTGTGCTTACTGCTTACGGTTTCCATGAAATACGCAGGGCTCATAGCGTAAAATTGTGTGCTTAGCAGCGCCATGAAATTGGACCCTGGATACGATCATGCCAAACTAATACTGCTTACCAACTACAAACTTAAAAACCAGTTAATACCTAAAGCAAACCACAACTGAGGAGATATTATCAATATGACAAGCAGCCCTTTCAAAAATAAGTTTTACCTCCAACAAATTCTCTTGCAGCTCAACTGGCCTCAACTATGGAACACGCTTTGTTTTTTCTAAGCACTGAAATGGGCAAGTAAGAAGCATGAGGATAAAAAGCATGCAAACGATGTACAACTTACCGCCCAAAATTAAAAGCATCTCAGACATTAACCGGGAGAACTGCAAAACAAGGTGTCTACACTGCATTTTGTTAATTCATGAACGATATTGCGAGGAGATGAAGGAATGACATACCACACGTTAAAAATGCATAACAGGATTTTTATCAAGCAACCCCACACTGGTTTCGTTTTTCTTCCTTGGCAAGCTCAAGAAACAGCAGGCGGTACGATGGTTAAAAAAAAAAAGGCAAGACCAGGTTTAAAACAGCTGGGAAAACAGGAAAGAAAAGAGGAAAGATTGTCAACAAAATAGAAAACCATGAATGTATTGAAGTTAAGAAGTACATTGTGTTAAACTTTTAATTACCCGTGTCCAAACCTAATAAGCAACCGTGCGTGATTTTGATATGCTTGTAGCACAGCCGTATATAGAGACCAAATCTTTATTTTTAAACTGATGAAACTTCAGGATATTTCCAGCGGAGGTGAAATTTGAAATAAACAGTTGCACAACATTCTGTGGTTCATCTTAATACGCTGCAAGAGGTATTCTTCCCCCAAGACTTTTCTGTGCCTCTTTTGGGGATTGTCATTCTGTGGCAGCGACTTTTTTTGGTCTCCCTCCAAGCAGGAAGTAAGTTCTGGACATGTTCAAATCATGGTCAGGTGCTTTCTGTGTTGTTGTCAGTTACTTGTCAAGTACCACACTCACGACCAAATACTAACCTGGTTAGGAAAAAACAAAGCTGCAGAATGGACATTTGATGGTAAATGCATAAAGGTAAGATGTTAAAAGTAAATCTAAGACTCCAAACATTCTCAGTTTAGTACAATTAACATTTAAGGACAAAAGCACTTCAAAAGTACTGGTACTCAGTCTGAAAAGTACTCACTCGGAAAAGTACTCGGTCTGAAAGGTACTCGGTCTGAAAAGTACTCACTCTGAAAAGTACTCAGTCTGAAAGGTACTACTGGAAAAGTCGAGACATAACCAATGTCGAAGGGGTTCAGGCTTATTTAGTTAGTTACCCCATTGACAGGACAGACGTATTCCCATACTTCGGTTTGGGCTCTGGCATGGTAGCCTGTTTGTCTCTCTACTGATATGGTATAATTTGCTTTGGTTTTAAATAGTGTTTGTGTGCTTGGATTTTTAAATTGGGTTTTTGTGTACTTGGTTTTAAATAAGTTTTTAGTGTATTGTGCCTTTGATTACTTCGGTGGAAAGGGCGCACTATGAATTCTAAATTATTATTAAATCTGAAAGGTGCTCGGTCTCAAAAGTACTCGGTCTAAAAAGTACTCGGTCTGAAAATACTCGGTCAAGTACTTTTTGAGTACATGTACTTTTGTCTTAAAAAGTACAGTGTAAACAGTTGTGCATTAACTGAGCAATGTTCATTCTCTATTTGTACGCGTAGCTCTGTTCCTTCCTAACCAGTTCAATATTTGGCAGAGAACTTGTTGCTTGAAAAGAATTCAACTGCAACGCTGGGTGCTTCTGCCAAGTAACGTGCGTAGAAAATTTCAAACCGACAGCCAGACCTGCAGACTGGATTCGGGTGATGGATTTAAAATGGCAGATGGGACCACGGGTGGGAACAGGACAAACAATGCCAGTTTCACAACACAAACTGTTGGTTACTGGCTTCTGACAAGAAACCTCTCCGAGATATCAAGTTTGGATAAGACTTTGAAGAGTTTTGTCAACCCCGATAAAATCCGTCTAAAACTTAGGATGTACAGTACAGGCAAACTGAATGGAAGAGTGAACAGAGACAAACAAAATCTGAAAGAATCAACTATCTACTGCCAGCATACCTTCCACAAATGCTTCATTATTTAATTTGATATTTAAGATTCATAAAGGCAAGAAATTACAATTATATTACACATGTTTGTCCATTTTCTGTATATACTGTTTAACAGATCTGCCCATAAATTTGTAAACCAAACACCTCAGAAGCAATAGAAACATATAGTAATGATAAGGTTACGGCAACAAATGCCGGTCTGGAATCATTTCTACTTTAAAATCATTTACAGAGTTCAAAATGCTTGTTTGTGTTTAATCTTTTGCACTATCCAAATAAAAAATAAACCAAAACCCTTACACAGTGTCACTTCTGTGTGTGACCAAGAATGTAAACTTCAGTTATTTCCAATTTTCAAGGCTTGGAAGTTTAACAGGACTTTAAATTGAAACTGCATTTTGGATTCTGTGTTCATTATTCCCTGTAGATGAATAACAAAACAGAAGCCTGGTGTCAATCTCTGCTTACTCCCTGTTTTTCGTTTACTCAACCCAGAGATTTTCAATTTCCATAAACTATAAAGCATCAAGCTGTTCTTTGTCCAATCTGATTTCTGACGTCTGCTTTTTCTTACTGCGCTTTGCATGGTCAAGTAATACCTGTGTTGTAGATGGAAGCAAGGCCTATGCGACATATTTTTTCTAATATCCAATTTCCTGCGCTCTTTCATTGGAACATTTTTCTTGGCGGCTTCAACGAGTCATAGCTCAGCACGTCATTTAATCCATCAAACTGTCTTACACAACGGAAATTAATTCCACAGCTTCTGATTTTCCCGAATGTACTAAATAACAATAAAATTGGGCCAATCAAATAAATTTTGTGAAGAATTTCTTCTCTGCAATTTGATGACAATATTCAACACAACAGCCAAAAAAAAAAGGAAAAACGTAACCAAGACTGTTTATATTGCATTTTGTTCTTCAGAGCAATTCAATATTGCCATCTGATTTGTCTTCTACTTGGAGATGTCTTTTGCATTTTCAATGGAATAAGAAAAAAATGTATATCTTTAAAACAGAAACGCAAAATGTTCCTTCAAAGTATAAAAATAAAAAGCTTTCAGTGAAAGATAAAAATGAATTCAACATAAAATGAGCAGTTAGCAGAAGTTAAGTCCCATGAAATGTGTCTGCCTTCAGCATGACTGGGCTGGTGGCTAGAGATATCAAGTGATTGTTGGCACCTTCTTTGTTTCCCGACATTTTGATTCTCTTGGGGAAAAAAAACATGAGATGCTGCAAGTTAAAACAATTAAAATCAAGGGAGCGGCTATTTTAACAACATGATCTAATGCAGAGATTAACCATGGTTACTACTTTTCCTTCTGACAGACATTCACTGTAAATGTACTTAAATTTGTTATTTAAAAAATCCTTCCTGCTCAAGTAAATCTCTTTTTTTTTGGCTCAATTTACTCAAAATCTTCAGTATTTAAGTTGTCTGTCTGAATGCGGACAGATAGAGAGGGCTCAGTTATCTTGGTAAGGGCTTACCTTGGTAAACAAGAGCGTAATGGGAAAGCAGACTGACACAGTTCATGGCAAAATGGCAGAGTGGATTAGTGGCATTGTAGGTGACGTTCAACCGGTGTGTGCGGTCATGCTTGGGCCAGTCCGATCAAAGGCCATAGTTAATCACACAGTAGTTTGACTACCTCCGAACAAATGCATGCCAGTCGACGATGGTTGGGCTAGTCTAGTCAACTATTCGCGACCAGCCTATCGAGGTTGGTCACGTCGTTGATTGCCATAAATCATTTTGAACAGCGCAGTGCAGAGAGGGCCAGTAATAAGAAAACTGCCGGGAACACATCATGTCGCCAGTAAACGGCCATTTTCACTTTTATTTCTACTATTTACCCTTCCTTTTCTCCGCTTCGGCCTAACGACCTGACAACGGTTGACTAGGGTCGTTGGCACTTCAACTTCACTGCACATGCGCTAGGTACGTCACGAACCAACCACTAGTTAACTAGTGGTCTTTCATCGAAGTTGCCCCTTGCATACCCGGTAGAGATATAGGTTCAAACACACATTGTGAACAAATCAGGCGGTTCAAAGGGGGGGGATTTAAATTCATCTCCAAATCTGTGCACAAGTGCACTACTCCAAAAAAAGTAAAGGATCATACTAACTGAGAACAGTTTGGAAAATTAGTATTTACATCACAACATACATGAGTGTCATTTAGTATGGTATGAACATGCTCGTCTGCTCACTATCAGTAAAAATCAATGGGGTACACACCTGGCTGACATTTTCAAAGACAAATGTCTGATCCTTGAATTTTTTTGAGTGGTGCATAATAGGATTCTGATGAAGGAAAAGGTACATGTATTTTGGAAAAATAATCACAGAGGCATAACCAGCCTGGCAACAACTGCCCAGGCGGCAACAACTAATTTAACTTCAGTTTTTAAAGAGGAAAAAAAGTATCGGGACTAGTCCACTTTTGACCGTGGATGAACAACACCTTGACAAGTATGGTCCATGGCAAAGAACCAAGTTGCAACTAGACACACACTGCCACTCTTTAATAGACCTTTTCACTCACAAATTAATAATTATGCACGAATGCGCACAAATAGCCTTGGCGGCAAGGGCCATTGAAAATGTACAGGGGTGTGATTTTGATAATTTTCTCTCAGGTTTTATGGCTTTGTTCAGTTTTTTCTTCACAAAATCCCCTTAAATCATCGTCTTCACTATTAGTTTCTAATCTAAGCGGGATTTTTAATGCTCTGTAAAAAGACTTTAAAATCGTGGTTTTTCCTGTGCGCACGAGATTAAAGGGGAAAACTCGAACCCCTGCACATTTTCAATGGCCCTTGCTGCCAAGGGCCTTTGTGCGCCCGCATGCATTAGTGAAAAGATCTATCCTTCCTCCTTATTTTACATGTAAATCCACAGTCAAACCATGGGCAAAATGAATATTAGTACATTCCTACATGAATTAGAAAATGGATTATTTCCCAACGACAACAAGACAGACGGAGTGCTCTTGTACAATGAATGAATCCCGTTAACAGAAATTTATCAAGCACAGGAAAAAATAAAGGAATGGCATGGATTTGATCAGTCACAATTCTGGCACCATCAGAGAAAAGCAGGTTTAACAACTAGGCCAAGTTAAAAATTGAATGATCTTTCACTGTTGGCTTTTTCCCTCAAGTAGTATAACATCAGCTGCAGTTGAGTGTCTGCACAAAGTCTGTCTTTGGCAACACTGAGCCGGGATTTTGATTACACAGTCAGTCAACGCAATCACTAAATACCCGGGAATTATTTGAAGCCTATGGTATTACATGTACTTATTGTCAGTCTATTTGGAAACGTCCAACATGGTGCAACATCTTGAGTTCTTAGGTCACAGTGGCATTGATATAATATGGGCAATTCGCAATATATGGCACCACCAAGAGTTTGCCACAGACAGGCCACTTTTGAAGTTTACAGTCGACATGCTGCTGCGATTAAGTGCACTTCCTACGTAATTTGAAGATACGTGGAGGCGTTCCCTGCACCACACAAAACCATCATTCTGACAACCTACATGTAACACCCATTCACAAGAAGCAATTTCAAATTCTCAACCAAATAAACATTCAGAAAAAAAATTCCACTTTTCCGCAGGCAGTGCAGTTAGCAAATGAGACTTTGTCAACTACTCATATTATCCCATAATGCATGGCAAAAAGGCCTCTCCATGACAACCTCTTGGTGGCGCACTGCACAGTGATTCGCCAGTAGTCAGTGTTCATCATTGTGTATTGTGAGCCTTTCCTAAGCAATACCGCTTTTTATAATAAATAAGCTCAGCTGTTTTCATGTTACACACAAGCTCCACGAAACCTTCCAAACAAATTTGTCCGCTGAGGAACTGCACATATTTCTTCTTGCTGTAAATCACAATTTTGTTTTATTCTTTTAAACCAGCAATAGCCAAAAATACTAATTACCATAAAATTAGATTTAGAGATATATATAGGTATACAAAATATTTAGAATTGCACATGAACACTCACATATAATGCTTCAATTCGCTTCCTTGTCTACTTGTGTTCATCATTGATAAGAACTACAACTTTCTACGTCCCTTTTAGAAAATAGTCAGGACGCCAGATATATAAATGATTTGTCAATTATAAAAATCACATTTCTTCTGCTATCTGGCAGTAAGGATTTCAAATCACAGATCCATTTTTTTTCTTTATCAACTGAAACATTTCACCGGATATCTGGTATTCTCTCCTCCCAAACACACTTCTGAACCTACCACTCTTCCCAACGGGCGCGCATGTAGAAAAACAAACAAACAAACGCCGTACTTTTTAAGGATTTGGCATCTCACGTGGTACCTTGCATCCGCATTCTACTTGAACTGGACCTCTCATAGTTGGGGTCGTTAGTAAATACGCGCAAACTTGACGGAAGAACTGAAGGTAAACTAACTCTGAGGTCTGCTCACAGTTTATAACGCCAAGGAGACTCCTTGCATTTTTTAGAGCAAGCTATAATTTTGGTTACTCCTGCTGAATGGACCAGCCAAATAGGTGAGAAGCCCCACTCATACACAGAGCACCAATGGCAAAGCAGCATTAAGTCTGACAACTCCACCTCCAACCTCCGGCAGCTACTTTTACTGGTGTTTTAGTGTTAAGTAATATCTATGCCTACTGACCTATCAATCGATGGATCCTTGACTCGTGACATGTATACACATAACTCGTACTCGGGTTGACCAGTGTGAGGAATACATGTACATATCCCTATGCAATGCCAGCTCTAAGCTGTTTTGCTTTTGGCAATTTGATGTTGCTTAGATTGGGCGGCTCCTGTGTTGCAAAAACAAAGCTGATTCTTCTTCAATAGCGGCAAAGACAATACTGTGAGTATTTCACAGGCGAACTATTAAGAATCCCTCCACATGAAAAGTTGACCAGCATCCCTTGGACAAAGCTCAGATAACTGCTTATTTCAAAAGATCTGCTGGGCAGCTTTTAGGGCATGACAACTAAAGCCTTCGGGGGAAAGACCTGACAGAGACAACATTTTCTTTGGCCAGTCACACGTTTTGTTCGAAAACCCCGATATTGCTGTTATAGATGGCCATTCGATAGCTGTAGCGATTGGAAAACCCCCGCTGTACCTTGTTCTGTGGTTGCTGCGGCTGACCGCTCCCCTGGCTGCCCTCTAAGGACGAGACGCTGGACGTGGAGGACATACTGTCCATGGACTGCGTGGGCTGGGGCATCACCTCTTCCAGGGTGTACTTGCCGATGGCCGTGGTCTGCTGGGCTACCAGCTGGGACCGCAGAAGGTAGATGTAGGTCTTGAAGCGCGACAACTGTTGACCCACAGAAAAAAACAAAGTTGGACACTGGTACGGTTGTAGGCGGAACGCTGTGACTATAGTTTGGTCGATATCGGCTCCGTGGAAGAACAGGGGATGGTATTCAGAGTGGGTTCTCTGGTGGGGACTCACGCTGGCTGCTCTGAGCATGCACACCAGATTCCTGTTGGAGGTACAGTCTCGGCCTACGCGTCGGGCCAACAGATGAAACAATTGCCACAACCTGTTTGTTCTTTGCATTTTGACTTGTGACCTCAATATCAGCCTGACTTGGGATCTGACTTGTGGACTACATCACCACTCCACATCTCTAGTGTTGTAGCCAAGACCATCACAAGAGCATTTGCAAGACCAGACGCAATACCATCCAAAAGACCAGTCACAAAACCAGTCACAAGTAAGAGTGCGAAAAGTGACAAAGGAATGCTTTTGTTGCAGATCATCTGAATAACTTTTGACTTTAATTCAAACTGGTCTTTTGTTGGTCTTGTGTTGGTCTTATGTTTTTCATGACCTCTACAGTCCCTCATCTAGAGAACAGGCAACAAGAAAAAGACAGCACGACAAACAGACAAGCCTCTGACCTCATATTCCAGATATTCCTGCTTGGTCTGATAGTCCTTCATTACTGATGCTCTCTGGCCCTGATCAGGGGGGTAGGACCGATGGTCCTCCAACTCCTGCTCGATGGATTCTACTTTCCTCTCATGGCTACCAAGCTGCTCTTGCTGTAAGGGGCATCAAATCACAGATGAAAGGTTTGTTATGGGAACTGGGAATATGAGAATTATCTCTACTGGGACGAAGTACCAGCTGTTTAAGGAGCCAGTGGTTAGAAAGATGCTCTCTTTCTCATTAGGAAAACCTTCCTTTTCTCGTAGCCAACACATCTTCCCAAAAGATATTCTGCCTGTGGTCTACCAGCAAACAATATTTCTCTGTATAGAGTACTTAAGTGAATATGTGCGCAAATTATGTGAATAAAGTTGGAGAACCACGGCGTGAACCAACATCCGCACATACTCCATTCATTTGCACTACACCTCCTGGTTCAAAATAACGTCAAACTTTGGTACTCTATTCCACTCCACTGTGCAAAGCCTCGCACAACACTTGACGGTGAGTGTCACAAGTTACATTTGCTCGCATTTTGGAAAGCATTCTTGGTTTTGTTTTGTCATTGCTGCAAATTGCTCAACCTAAAAAAAAGTGGAAAAGCTCACGAATGCCAATCCTGTGCACTTTTCAAGGCGTGCTACTCAAAAATAAATTCATTACACAAATCAAAAAGGGCATGATGACCTGTTGTTTTGGTTCAGGAACCCTTCTCAATGACACCCTCCAGGAATCGACATGAACACTTAGAAAAATACTGAACAAACAGGTAGAATGAGGAAATCCAACAGCCTACCTAAGGCCATGTCCAACTGACTTGGCTGCGACTTCAAATTACACACAACTCTGTGGGAAGCGGCTGCAGCCACTATCACACATACACGTACAATTTTAAGCCGCAGCCAAATAATCTCGAGGAGGCCTTCTGCCTCCTTTCCCCGTGACCCAATCCATCCCTTACGACAGGTACCGTGTTCAGTTTTGACGGTGAGGACGGCAGCAGGGGACGTCTGAACGTCTTCTGGAGTCCGACCGCTGCCGGTAGGGGCGGCGCCGAGTGGACCGCAGCGGCAAGGTTCAACGCCTGCATCCAGTTCTGCAAATCTTGTGAATCACTGTAGTGCATTAAACCACAACAAAGCCAGCACTTACTAAATGCAAACGTAAAAGCCATCAGCTACGAAGCAAGGCAAATAACTGCAAGTTCCGAAGCACAATGACATTTGCGTTGATGTATATGGTTGCTTTTAGGCAGATGAAACTATGACTAGGAAATTTGCATGCATGGGGTCATTTACATGTACTGAGTTTGAAGTTCATTCAGAGGACTACGTACACGTACATGGCTCTATTAATGTGTCTCCTTGCCAAGTGTGTTCATTGGTTGATTCCGAAAGACGATTCTAAAAGCTTGTGCCGGGCATCCAACATAAGGTATGAACAGTTTGATCTGTATGTAGATGCCACTTTTCTACATGATTAACCTTCTTGCCAGTGTTGTAGTCAACTCCATCACAAGTCCAGTCACAAGTCCCTTCATAAGGCCAGTCACAAGTCCCTTCACAAGTCCCTTCACAAGTCCAGTCACAAGTCCCTTCACAAGTCCAGTCATAAGTCCCTTCACAAGGCCAGTCACAAGTCCAGTCACAAGTCCAGTCGCAAGTCCCTTCACAAGTCCAGTCACAAGTCCCTTCACAAGTCCAGTCACAAGTCCCATCACAAGGCCAGTCACAAATCCCTTCACAAGGCCAGTCATAGGTAACAGGGTGAACAATGACCAAAGAAACTGACACAGCTCATTTGAATAGCTTGTGAATTGGCTTAAGACCTAATGACTTGTGATGGACTTACAGGGACTTGTGATGGACTCGACTACAGCAGTGCTTCTTGCATTTTTCCTTCGGAGACTGACACAAACAGGAAAACAATACCAACTAGCAGTATCGTGGCCTAGAAGTAAATGGTGTCTAATTCATATCACCTTGGGGAGTCTGAGGGATTTCTATCGAGTTTGGGAGTTGAAAATTCGGCTACTAAGTTAGTTGTCGTCGCAGTCATTCAAGTTATTGAACTGCGTGGACTCCTCCCAGTTTCATTTGACACTGAAACTAACTCTGGGCAGCATCAATCTACCAGCAGGTTAAAAATCAATGATAACGATCAAACCATGCAAATCGTATAGAAGTACCGTTTGGTATGTGGCCTTGTGCTAGACACTCTGTAGCACCTGCTACATCAAGGCTTAAATGGATGACCGATGAGCTCACTCATCGTGGATGCTGGCTAACCCTACTATTAATTCCGTACCACAAGCAGATCTGTTATCTTTGATTAAAAGTCATTTCTTAGAGGTTTAGCCAATGTTTTACCTTACACTGGTACCAGTATACATTTGTATGTCCGTACATACTCAAATCAATATCATTTCAAAAACAAACTACATAGGGGTATCTTTCACAATTTCATATTTTAACATCCAACACACACTTGCCAATCGATTCTTTTGTTAGGGACTGTGGTAAAAATCATCATTAGTGTTTTTCTACACAGTAATCTTTGAAATGATACGGTAGTTCACTATTAAATTGTCTGGATACCAGACTAATTTTGAGAGGAATTACCCAGATTTTGAGGCTGAGGGCAGACTGCACAACAAACCACTAGATCTACTTGTACATGTAGATACATGCATCTTGTTTATTCTAAGGTTCTGAGACAGAAGAACACCCCACGACTGACACTAGCAAGCTGAGAATATGAGCTATAATGAACGTGCCACATGTGTCGTGTGTGTAGAGCTCGTACCTTATTCCTGTACACTATATCAATGCACAGCTTGTCACGTACATGTAAAAGGATTACAGCATGCACAGCCAACACATAATTATAACTTGTGACCAACATGCAATGGAATGAGTACCACTGCAAACTCTCCACACGTTCATTGTTCCAACAGCAACCATTTGTTAATGTTTGCATATGTAAAGCACGCATTTAACTCTTAACTGTGACTTCAAATGTTGTCAAAGCTCAGAACAGAACTAGCACAGGATAGCAAACAAACGAGTCCAAAGTGAGTCGGCCAAAGTTGCTATTTCAAAGTTTGCCGCAGATCGACTTCACTTATCATCAGCCTTTCCAATTTTTGTGATCTGAGTCTTTATTCAGTGGCTAGACTGTATCAGAAAAATGAAGGAAATCATGCGGGTTAGTCCATAAAGCAACGGCAACAATGTCGTCTTCCTCTTTGACGTCATTACCATTGTCACTGTAATCAGCACTATCATCAAAATCATTGTTGTCAAACCTACGTCTCTACATCAGACCTAAGAACATCTAACTGAACCTACATACCCAATTAAGCAAAGCCTGTTTGGTTAGAGTTTGCAAGACATAGCAAAACTGAACTATTTTCAACTACAAAAAAACAGGGAACACCAACACCGGAAACCGATCACCGAAGAAATACTAATTTTGAAAAATGCTTGACCAATGGAAAAGCCTTGAACTACACAAAGATTCCAAGCAATCAACGACCAGATACAAATCTGTGAATGATTCAGCCAATGCATTTTCTATGCCCCTTGATGGCAGCAAGCCTCGCGGGCTAAAACACGACTGAGCAGGTGCAACAAGCAAACTTTGATACAGACACCCAAATCAAGAGGGTACCGACACCGACTACTCGCCTGGAACCTTGGGACGTGTTGGAAGCAGAGGCAGCACCTGCTTCCGGAGTCTGCCTGTCGCACGGTCTGATTGGTTGAAACGAAGGGAAGAGGGGGAGGAGAGTTGGAAGGGAAGGTCATTCACAGGGTGTGAGCACCAGTGTTTGCAACGTTTGATGTGAATCACTGAGAGAAAGCATGTCTTTGTTGAAAAGCAAAAGGCATCAAAAGTTTAAGGTACATGTACCGGAAGTTTTCTTTTACTGAAGTGGATCGTCGACAGACAGTTAACACAGCATTGGTCAAATTAATATAATTATACCTACTACAACTGCAAATGGCCCACATACATTCCCTAGGTAGGGCTTCAATATTCCCATCTCCAGTTTGCCGAATATATAGACAAAATCTGAGGAAACGCCATTCCTTTGGGGCTATCGTACTCATGCATGTCTTAACTTGAGCGCACTTTGGAAAATCACAACACCCTACTGGTCGGAGAGGAATGCAATGCGCACATACCATCTGCGTGCGAACAGGATAGCCCCGCAGTAATGGCTTCAGACTTTTTCACTGAATTTGTCTATGGGCCAGTTCGATCAAGGACCAATAGTTAACTAGTGGTTGATTCATGCTGTACCTACATGTAGCGCACGTGCAATGAAGTTGAAGTGCCAACAACCCTAGTCAACCACTGTCAGTTTATTAGACCGAAGGGAAGAAAAGATGGCCACAGGAAGGGCAAAATAGCAAAAATTACAGTGAAAATGGTCATTTACTAGTGACTTACTGTTTATCCGGCATTTTTCTAAAACTGGCCCTCTCTGTACTGTGCTATTAAACATGGTTTATGGCAACCAACGACGTGACCAATCTTGGTAGGCTGATCGTGAATAGTTGACTCACCTAGTCCAACCATCATTGACTAATGTGCATTCAATCAGAGATAGTCATTCTATGGTCCTTGATCGAACTTGCCTTACACTGTTAGAGGTAACAACCAAAATCCTGCGCTAAATACAAGGCAACCAAGGATCAAGGAACAGCAGTTGGGTACATTTGATGGGTGTGAGTATGAGCAAGTGTTTGATATGAGTAACTTCTCATAGTCCCAAATTTAAATACGAAAACAGTTATAGGGGTTTTGCATGGCAAAAAAACCTGACGTCTGCCCAATCAGTTTGCACAGCAAGTTTGTTTTTCTTCTCCCTTGTTCTTCTGATCAGCATAATGTGACTGGCCCTTCGCTGCATGAATATGCATACATGTTGAACAGCATAATGTGACTGGCCCTTCGCTGCATGAATATGCATACATGTTGAACAGCATAATGTGACTGGCCCTTCGCTGCATGAATATGCATACATGTTGAACAGCATAATGTGACTGGCCCTTCGATACATGAATATGCATACATGTTGAACAACATAATGTGACTGGCCCTTGGCTGCATGAATATGCATACATGTTGAACAGCATAATGTGACTGGCCCTTCGCTGCATGAATATGCATACATGTTGAACAGCA